TCAGTGACGAAGAGGGTTCTGGGGTGTGGAAGCCAGGAAGGTGGGTGTTTACTCCTCTCCCCTCACACTCCTAGGTTCCTAGTGACCCCTTTCACACCCCAAAACCTCTTCCAATGTCGCCTCCATTCACACCATAGAACGCCCCCCCACACAGACATTCTCCACATTCCCCATACATCTCCCAGAGCACACATACAGATGTACACATGCAAAAACACAACAAACAAAAACAAAAAAAACTTACAAATATCTAAAATCAGGGTACCTGAAAGATGTCATTGCATTCACTATCCTATATAATAAAAGGGTAATATGCAAATTGACCCTAATGGTGGAACAACTGGTCACTATGATGCGCACTGACCACTAGAGGGCAGATGCTCAATGCAGGAGCTGCCCCCTGATGGTCAGTACGCTCACACAGGGGAAGCTCCACTCAGCCACAAGCTGGGCTGATGGCTGCGAGCGCAGCAGGGGTGGTGGGAGCCTCTCCCACCTCTTCAGCAGTGCTAAGGATGTCTGAATGCGGCTTAGGTCTGCTCCCTGGAGGGGGCCTAAGCTGCAGTCGGACATCCCCTGAGGGCTCCTGGACTGCCAGAAGGATGTCCGATCCCCGGGAGCCGGCCTAAGCCAGAGGTGGACATCCCCCGAAGGCTCCCAAACTGCGAGAGGGTGCAGGCCAGGCTGAGTAACCCCCCTCCCCTGTGTGCATGACACTCAGGACACCCAGGCCTCTAGTAGAACTGATATTTATCCAGTTTACGCTGCAGTGTGACAAGACTTGCAGCTCCTTCTGAGAACGAGCCCCTTCCTACTTTGCCTGCTTTTGAACAGTTTCAGCCAAATGAGCTAAGACTTCATCTGCTTTGCTTCTGGCAAACTGCACACCTCTAATACCTAACCAGTAAGCAAAAGGTTCATCCTATATACACAATAGCAATGGCGCTCCCTGGTGATTACAAAACCCTGATGGAAGGCTTCTCCAGGCACATCTTCGTGCTCTGGGGCCACAGAGGTAGACACGTGACTCTGGTTGAGCCAATCACAGTGTCCCACCCCCCAGACCACGGTGATGGGCCATAAGGTGGGCACATGATCAAAGCCCTGCCCTGGGACTTTTTCTAACTGAAGTTGTTGGGACAGCTGTCCCTCCTCTGGTCCATAAGACCAGGAGCCTGGAGCTGCCTGAGCCTTGCTCCCAGCCTCCTGGGGGATGGGAGACCTGAGGGAGTAAAACTAAAAAAGGAAAGCAGACAAGAGAAGGAGAGTTGAGGCGACACTGGCTGTTGTCATCCCAGAGACCAGCCCATCCTGTGGCTTGGTCAGAAAAGAGTGGACGTTTACGGCTTACCTCCCCACCATGCCTGTCACCCTCCTACCTGTTCCCCACTCTCAGCCCCAGTTATAAGCCAATCAGTGCATTGCATTGCTCTGGCCACCAGGCTTGGTTGGCGGTACTGGTGTGACCCAGCCAGGGCTTTGACACAAATCCCAACCCAGGATGCACATAACTATGACACAGATTCCAGAGATTGTTCACGAGGCCATGACCCATGGTGTCAAAAGAGTGAACACAGGGGATGCACCAAGCCCCTGTGATCCCGCCAACCTTCCCAGCTGGCAAGGGCCCCCCGGGCCTCACTGTTCACTAACTAGACTTCACAGGGTCTCTCCCACACATCAAGAGTCTTCCCACCTGGGTACCTCCACGCAGTCCCACCTGCTCCTCCAACCTGGGCACTCTCCTTCCACCTTTGCCCAGACTGCCTTAATCACCCTCACCTCTAATGTCACTTCTTCCGCATCCCCTTTCTGACACCCCCACCCCCGGCGACTGACCCCCACAGCCTCAGTTCTTAGTCAGGTTGCCCATTAAATGCTCCTATAGTACAATGTGCAATTCCTCACGGACTTGTCAGTCCTTATTCCACTGACTTTTTTCTTTTTTTTTAAATCTTGACCCAAGGATAGTTTCC